AAAGGATTCTTTGGGAAGTAATGCCACGTCATCACACGTTGCTAAAGCAGATTGAAATGCCTTGGCATTTCTGGCGCAGAAAAAGACAAAAAGATATTTCTGCATAAGGACAGCTGGCACTGGACAGCTGTCCCTGCACGTGGAGTACTGCTGTAACCACCTTCCAGAGCTACCAATGGACCATTGCCACTTGGAGGATAAGGTTCATGCACAAAATGTGATTCTAGGGGTATGAGGGGTATTTTGCACCCAACAAACTCATCATTACCCCTAGATATTTTATTTATTATATATGACACCTAATGGGAGAGAGAGAAAGGACGGTGAGCACACGCATAGAGCAGAAAAAAATTCAGATTTTTATTTTCTCTTTTTCCTTTCTTTTTCCTTGGAATATTCCTCCATTGATTAAGCTCCAAGGAGTGGCAAGCTAGGAGCCGAAAGGAGCTAGCGAGCTAGGTGGTTCATGGTGGCCGAGAGGAGACCTCTGGTGGCGCGTCGAAGGCTTCTTCTCACTTCCCTTTTTGCTACTATTTCTTTATATTATTTTGTGGGTTGTTGGAATGAATTTTCATCACTTTGTGTTTGGATATTTCGAACCCCACCATGAACTAACTTATTTGGTGGTGGTTGGTTGAATGGTTGTTTAAACTTTATTTTTAATGGTATATTTAAGTTTATTTTGGTTCTTTATTTGCTTTGCTTATGAATGCTTCACCATCTAGGCTTGTAAGAGGCATGGAAATGTCCATCTCTTAGATGAAGGTTAGGTATTCGGAAGAATCCTAGACTAAAAATACTTGTAAGTATTCGGAAGAAACGCAAGATAAGATCCTCATAAGCAATGGGTTATGGTATTTTCAAGGGGCTTTGAAACGACCTAGGAATATTATAACTTAATCCCTTAGATCTCGGAAGAGACTAGGTTAGGATTTCAATGACTAAAAAGGGTGTCTTTATCAATAGGGTAGGCTGTCCAACATCGTTAAGTGAGAGCAGATGCCTTGGCATCCTATTCTGTTAGGTTCTTTTGAACACCTTAGGAAAGTCCTGTCCAGTAAGTAAAGACAAGATAGCTTAAATATACTTGAGAAATAAGTTTAGCAACCTTAGAACAATCCTTACCATTCATTTCATTGGAAGCTTGTCACGTGAGGATTATTTTCTTCTTATTTTATTTATCTTTTTATTTACTGTTTTTACCATTTCTCATTGCCTCAACATTTCACCATACTCAACATTAAACATCCATCAATGCCACTGCATTTCCATTTGCTACACCATCAATCCGCATCCACCAGCATACACATATCTATTGCCGTGACATTTGTATATATCAAGACTAACTATACTTAGATAATTTAGTGCATTGCTTTGGTTAGACTTTTGTGATTTCACCCAATCCCTGTGGAGACGATACTCACTCATCATTATATTACTTGAGCGATTGTGTATACTTGCACATTATTTGCGTATATTTTATAGTACTCACAACACGCAACAAGTTTTTGACGCCGTTGCCGGGGATTGGCAGCCTGAAGTTATTTAGTTTTTCCAGAGCATTTTATTTTGTTTTGCATTTTTATTTTTGTATAGTTTACTTGATATTTTTGTTTTATTTTTTTTTCAGGTTTATTTAGTGTATGCCTAGAAGAAATTCTGAAGAGCCTTTGGAACCAATAGAACCTGAGATTGAAAGACTCTATAGAAGAAGAAGACGTGCTCAAGGAAATATGTATCAGATTAGAAACCAAGGCATTGGTCAAGATGACGGAAATCAGAATGCCGCGGCATTAAACAATGTTGAACCTGCTATCAGGCCTCGTGTTATTCGAGATCATTTAAATCCGATGCTGGATGATCTGAATCCTGGGATTGTGGCACCCGAAATTCAAGCTGCACATTTCAAGCTGAAACCAGTCATGTTCAACATGTTGAATTCCATTGGGCAGTTTGGGGGTATGACAACTGAAGATGCCAGGCAGCACATTCGCAATTCTCTGGAAGTTTGTGATTCTTTTCGCTAAGAAGGAGTGCATGAGGATTTTCTGAAATTAAAGCTTTTTCCGTATTCATTGCGTGACCGAGCAAGGGCTTGGTTGAGTGGTGTACCAGCAGGTTCGATGGAATCATGGGCCGATCTTTGCAAGAGCTTCTTATTGAGGTACAACCCACCAAATATGAATACGCAGCTAAGGAATGAAATATCATCTTTTCGCCAGGGCGACGACGAATCCATGTATGAGTGTTGGGATCGTTACAAGAGTTTGCTTTGAAAGTGTTCAAATCATGGTTTTCATGATTGGACTCAAGTAGTCATGTTCTATAATGGAGTCAATGCACCCACGAGGATGTTACTGGATGCCTCGGCAAATGGGACATTGCTGGACAAATCACCTACGGAGGCGTTTGCTATCTTTGACAGAATTGCTAACAATGATTATCAATTTCCTTCCTCAAGACTTGGGAGTGGGAGGAGATCACCTGGAGCATTCGAGTTAGAAGCCAAAGATTCGGTGTCCGCTCAACTCTCCGCTATTACTAATATGTTGAAGAACTTACAATGTTTCACTGATGTGAAGGAAGTGAAAACAACTAGTCTGGCATGTCTGTTATGCCAAGGCAATCATCACGAGAGCGAATGCCCAACCAACCATGAGTCCATCAACTTTGTAGGCAATTACAATCGATGCAGCAACAATCCTTACTCAAACACTTATAATACTGGATGGCGTCAGCATCCTAATTTTTCATGGGGAAATCAAGGAGCCCACAATGCTAATCAACCTACTAGGCAGCAGAATCACAATGAGCCTCAAAGTTACCAAAATGCTATGCCATGGCATAATGCTAACAAAGGAGCTTCATCTTTAGCGAGCATAAGTTCCTTAGAAGCTACAATTCAAGAATTCATATCTACTACGAAGACAAAGCTGCAAGACCATTCTACTTCAATTAAGAATCAAGGAGCTTTACTTCATAGTCAAGGCGCCTTACTTTAAAGCCATAGCTCATCTCTGAGAGCTTTGGAAGGTCAAGTTGGTCAGATTGCTACGGCATTGTAAGAGCATCAGCAAGGACGTTTGCCAAGTGATACTGAAGTCACTAAAGGGCCTGGAAAAGAGCACTGCAATGTGTTAACTCTTAGGAGTGGAATACAAATCAATCGACAAGTCAAGGATAGTGGGCCACAGTATGATGATTCTAATCCCACTACTGAAGCTGAATTACAAGATGATAGAGTTTTTGAGAAGGACAAGGAGGAGGATTCTGCCAAGGTACCAGATTCTGATGCCAAGGCAAAAGAAAATTCTATTCCTACAGCTAAGGAAGCTATACCTCCCCCACCCTTCCCACAAAGATTGAAGAAGCACAATGATGAAGTTCAGTTCAAGAAGTTCGTAGACATTCTTGATCAGCTCCATATCAATATGCCTCTATTGGAAGCTGTTGAACAGATGCCGATGTATGCCAAATTTCTGAAGAGACTAGGTTAGGATTTCAACGACTAAAAAGGGTGTCTTTATCAATAGGGTAGGCTGTCCAACATCGTTGAGTGAGAGAAGATGCCTTGGCATCCTATTCTGTTTGGTTCTTTTGAACACCTTAGGAAAGCCCTGTCGAGTAAGTAAAGACAAGATAGCTTAAATATACTTGAGAAATAAGTTTAGCAACCTTAGACCAATCCTTACCATTCATTTCATTCGAAGCTTGTCACGTGAGGATTATTTTCTTCTTATTTTATTTATCTTTTTGTTTACTATTTTTACCATTTCTCATTGCCTCAACATTTCACCATACTCAACATTAAACATCCATCATTGCCACTGCATTTCCATTTGCTACACCATCACACCATCAATCCGCATCCACCAGCATACACATATCCATTGCCGTGACATTTGTATATATCAAGACTAACTATACTTAGATAATTTAGTGCATTGCTTTGGTTAGACTTTTGTGATTTCACCCAATCCCTGTGGAGACGATACTCACTCATCATTATATTACTTGAGCGATTGTGTATACTTGCACATTATTTGCGTATATTTTATAGTACTCACAACACGCAACAATTTGATATCCTTGTCATGTTTTTTTTCCTTTTCATGATTTCATCTTTTTCACAATTAGCACCGTATGCTTTTTGACTATCAATTTAATTTAATTTTTTATTTTTGGTGCAGTAACTTAGAAATTTCTCTTCAAGTGAAAGTCCCTTGCGCGTGCTGTCTACCATATTATTTTTAGCATGACTCTCTATATATTCACAGTTGCTAGAAAAGGTTACTATAATGCAATTGCAACCATGACAATTCTTACAATATCCTCATTCCCATTTCTTATTCTCATTGCAGCTGCATGTGTTAGCTTCTGCCATGGCAATTCCAATGTGCTTTGCATTGGAAGTGAGAGAGATGCTCGTTTGAAGTTGAAGAATGATCTGATTGATCCCTCAAACAACCTATCTTCCTGGGTTGAAGGTGGGGATTGCTGTGAATGGAATGGTGTTGTTTGCCATAACACAACAGGCCACGTCACTCAACTGCTCTTGTCTCCTCCTGATGGACGGCAAGGTTACGGTCGTTCAGCTCTAGTAGGCAAAATCAATCTTCTCTGTTGGAGTTGTAGCATCTCAATTGGCTTGACTTGAGCAATAATGATTTTTGAAGCATTTAAATCCCTGAGTTTTTAGGTTTGCTGGGGAGTTTAACATATCTTAACCTCTCCCAATCACTATTCTAGGGAGCCGTTCCTCATAACCTTGGGAATCTCTCAGAGTTGCTGTATCTTAACCTCCGAGGTAATTATTTATTGAAAGAAGAGAGAAGTCTTCAATGGATTTCTGGACTTTCTTCTTTGCAGTACCTTGATTTGAGCCGAGTGGATCTTCGTAATGCAACTGATTGGATACAGGCAACATTATCCAATCTTCCTTCTTTGTTAGAGTTGCACTTGTCTGGTTGCATGTTGCAAGATGATACATCTTCGATCAGGACGGTTAATTCTACAAATTCACTAGCCATTCTTGATCTTTATCTGAACAAATTATCTTCAGTTCCTAGGTCAATATTGGTCTCGTGTCCATGGATCTTAGTGGCAATCATTTGAAAGGCCCAATTCCTGATTACTTTGGGAACATGTCATTTCTTAAAGGTGTTGATCTTAGTTTAAACTCACTCAATTCATCCATACCCAACTCCTTGTATAGTTTAAACCATATTTAATCCCTTGGTCTTACTGATAACTATTTACAAGATGAAATTTCAAATGCCATTGGAAACTTGAGCTCTCTCATTCACCTTGATCTGTCGGACAATCAGCTTCAAGGAAAAGTACCAGTTTCTTTGGGAGATGTTTGCAAATTGAAGGAGATTGATTTGTCATCTAATGGAATTGAGCAAGACATATCGTAAATCCTACAGAGTATGTCTAAATGTGGTTTGGAGAACTTAGAATCATTGAGTATGGCAGATAACCAACTTTCTGGCCATTTAACTCGTAAACTTGGGCAATTTAAAAATTTAGCTTACCTGAACCTTGCTCGAAACAACATTTCTGTTCCCATTCCATTGTCGATAGGGGAGTTATCATCTTTGAAGCTCTTTGATGTTTTAGAAAATCGATTGGAAGGAGTTGTATCAGAAACTCACTTTGCTAATCTCTCGAGGTTGACAACTTTGATGGCCTCCAAAAGCATGTTGAGATTTGAACCAAACTCAAGTTGGATTCCTCCTTTTCAATGTGAAATTATCCGATTGATTCAATGGCGCCATCTTGGCTCGAAGTTTCCCCGGTGTTTAAAGTTCCAAAAGAACTTGTCTCAATTAGATATCTCGCAGGCAGGAATAGCAGACGTTGTGCCCACTTGGTTTTTGAACCATTCCTCTCAATTTTAAATTGTGAATCTTTCCTTTAATCAACTTACTGGAGGGATTTCATATTTGAATGTAGGAAACATTGTCGACCTCAGTTCAAATCGATTCTCTGGTACACTGCCAAGACTTCTGCAATCTTTAGGATTGTTAAGTTTTTCAAAGAATTTATTTTCAGGATCCCTTTCTTAATTTGTTTGCAATTCATCAGGGACGTCAGTGCTAATTCTTCACATTGATACAAATCTTCTCTCTGGAGAAATTCCAGATTACTGGAATCGTTGGTAGGACTTGGAGCTCTTAAATTTGGGAAACAACAATTTGATAGGAAAAATCCCATCTTCTTTGGGAGATACAAGTCTTGCAATGCTAAACCTTCGGAACAATAGCATGTTCGGAGAATTACCCTCCACATTGCAAAATTGTACTGATTTGGTTATTCTTGATCTCAGTGAAAATCATTTCAGTGGAAGAATACCAACATGGATTGGTGACAAGCTCTCTAATCTTGTGGTACTAAGCCTCCATTCAAATAACTTTGATGGGCATATTCCTCATACAATTTGCACTCTTCAATCTCTTCAGAATTTGTACCTTGGACACAACAACATTTTAGGAGATATTCCAAAATGTTTTAGAAATTTAAGTGCAATGGCCACTAAAGAAAAACAAAGTAAATACTACTACCAAGTGGAGACGTTTGTTAGAAATGCATATATGTACACTTATTTGATAGGTGCGTCACTGGAGGTGAAAGGAAGAGAGGATGGGTATAGTACCACACTAGCACTTGTTACCAGCATTCACCTCTCAGCTAACAGTCTCACAGGAGATATCCTAGAAGAACTTGGAAGTCTCATTGGGCTATTGTCATTAAATTTGTCAGGGAATCTCCTAACAGGAAATATACCAGACAGCATTGGCAACATGGAGTTGATAGAATCACTTGATTTATCGATGAATCGTTTGCATGGTGGAATCCCTTCAAGTTTCTCCAATTTGAATTTCTTGAATCAATTAAACGTTTCCTACAACAACTTGACAGGACAAATCCCAACATCCACTAAACTTCAAAGCTTTGAAAACTCTTCATTCATGGGCAATCATCTCTGCGGGCCTCCTGTCAGTAAAAACTGCAGCACTGAAGGTGTTCCGACCGATGCTACAAAGAATGGAGAAAGCAGTGGAAGAAGTAAAGTGAACGGGTTTTATGTGAGCATTGTTGTTGGATTTGTAATGGGATTTTGGGGATTGGTGGCTCCCCTATTTTTCATCAGGTCTTGGAGGCATGCTTACTATGCAAAGCTGGAGCATTTTGGTAACAAGTTGTATGTGTTTTGGGCTCTAAGGGTATGTAACTCCATGGGAAAACAATAGCATGTATAATTAAGGTTTGTGTGTGTTTGTAGTTTGAGTAATATATTGAAATGTGAATGAAGTGTGTATGGTATTTCAATAATGAGTACATGGTTGGGTTAAGGAGTGAACATAACCAACAAACTTTAGAAGTTTAATGATAAATATTGAAGTACTTGATTTTAGTCCAAATACTAACACATTTTGTAAGCTTAGCACTGTTTACTTAAATAACCATTCATGTATTTCTTGCTTTACTTCCCCTTGAACACATAGTTCATTGGCTATTCACCAATTTTAGGATAAAATTGCACCATCGATAAAACGAGGCGAAGATGATCTCAAATTTGAAAATTTAGTGTTGTTCAACGAAGCTGCTTAGCTATACTTGGCAGTTTTAGTAAATTAGCCATTACTGAAATTTTATATATTAAATATGACATAGAAATAATATATGTTTGGATTAATCTAATTGCTAGGTTGAAAATCTTAAAAAGTCTAGTGTAATTTTATTTCCATACAGTGTATTAGCCATTACTGGAGCATGCATTGTTATCTAAAAAAAGAATGCCATTTGGAATAGTAATACTCTAATGTTTAGTCCTTGTTCTTAGGACTTAAGTCATGAAATTGCATCAACAATAATAAATTATCTAGTTTCACCTAACATCAAATAATAATCGACAAAGTCAAATATTCAATGACATCCACAAAAAAACATAACAATACAACTTGATCTCACTAAACAATTAAGTGATATAAAATAATGATATCTGAACCTTGGGGTCGTGGGATCGAGTCTCATGGAAGGCATTTCATAATTCGGAGGTCTCCTACGAAAGCTACTCTCAACCTGACGTTGGGGACAACCTACTATCCTACCTCCCCCTTATCCCATTACATATGGGAATAAAGGTCAGCTAATTTATATCTGATGTCACACAAGCAATCAAGTATAAATAATAGTGATAGTAGCCGGTCTCACTAAGTATTGAGTATTATTTCACCATTTATATTTAAGTACGGTTGTCCAGTCTCACTAAGCATCAAGTTATTCATTCATAGATATTCGGATAGTAATTCGCCACTAAAATAGAATGGATAAATATTACCACGTGCCAATAATTGTCCATAAGGCCGAACATTGAGACTTAATGCCGAACATTGAGACTTAATGCCATTTATAAGATTCATCGGGTATTACGAAAGCTTGATTCGGAGTGAAGAGTTGTCGTCCACCTAATCACCTTAGAGTAAACTTGCCTTTTAGCTCTCAAAATATAGAAATCTTATTGTTAACATACAAAAACAAGATTAATATTCATCCTCAACATCTAATTGAATAGTCACATTGATCTTAATGCCTTTTAAGAACTTTATCCTTTAACGTTTCATTTTGAATCAAAATAATCTTTTTTATTAAAATCATCAATTAACTAACAATTAATGTTACTTACTAACAAGGTAGTTCAGGGGCTAAAATGGTGAAGTGACATAATATATGTTAGCAAAAAATTATTTATTAAATTAATTGTAAATAATTATATGTTGTCACACGTCATCATCCGATTGGTTTAAAATTAAAGAAAATGAATTGGGGCTTTAGAAAGACTTGATTCCATGCATCGAGAGGTGAGCATTCAACCGAGTCGAGTAAAAAAATCGATTTACTGGAGTTGACGAGCCATAATTTGTGACTTAAACTTTATTTTTTTAGTCAAGTTTATGAAATTAAGATTGAGTCAAGTTATTCGAGTTTCTATACAAATTTAATTTTAATTAGTTATAATATTATGATACAATTTGGTTCCAATTTATCGAATTTCTTTAACCATATAAGATATACATATGTATTTTTTCATGTTCTTTTTAACATTATAATTTTATTTAATAAATTAAATACAACCTAAAATTATAAAATATATATTTATAATATTATTTTTCAAAGAATGTATATTGGGGATAAAGTATTGATGGAATATAAAGGAGTCATAATTGATGAGAAGAAAGAACTTGCCAAAAAAAAATCAAAAGATCAAATTGAATTAAATTCAAAGTTAAGGCACTAAATTGAAAAAAGAGTAATTGTGTATAATTAAAAATAGGAATTGAAGTTACACTGGTATTCTATAGTAGTAAAGGAGCACATGCTTCAAATATGGTAAAACAAATGAACTTAAAATGAAGGATGACTTGAAGAAATGAAGAAATCATGTAAAGTTGAAGGATTAAAATGAAAAAATAGAAAGACAATTTATTAGGAAGAGGAATTGAAGATAAATATTATTCTACAATGATTTAGGATCATGTAGTTCAAATATGATAAAAATGGACTTAAAATAAAAAAATAAAATGAATAAATGAGAAATTAATGTAAAGTTGAGGGATCAAATTGAAAAAATAGAAAAATAAATTTTATTAAAAAAATAAATTGAAAGTACATAGTTATTTTACAATGGTTTAGGAGCATGTGGTTCAAATTTTGTGAAACAAAATACCTAAAATAAAGGAGGAATTAAATGAATAAAAAAATAAGGGACCAAATAACAAAACTACCAAAATGCTCAGCTAAATTTTCAGTTCAAGCGCCAACTCCGTAGATCCTTCCTTGGAGGTACCCCAGTGAACAACACATATCTCTGACATATCATAGATCTCATGATTTTTCATAGCATCAATTAATGTCATGCATTGCAACTGGGTGATGGTACTGATAGAAATCATTTTGAGGAATTTGGGGTTGAGGAGGTTAGGGGTGTAAACGAGCCGAATCGAGCTTGAGTATTATAGAGCTCGACTCGAAAACTATGAAATGAAGCTCGGTCGAATAAAAAACTTGCTAGCTTAAAAGTTTCAAGCTCGACTCAAACTTGAAATCATGAACTGAAGCTTGCAAAAGCTCGAAAAGGCTCGAAATTTTAAAAAAAGTCTTAAACTTAACTCGACTGAAGCCTAAAACTCAATCTCAAACTTGAACTTTAAATACATGAAAACCTTATACTACATTTAAAAAAATCAACATATAAATGTTAATATTATTAATAATTTATTTTTAAAAAAATCTTAATATATTATATTTAAGGCAGTGATGACAAATGAAATTTTAGCTGAAGACAGCTTTGTGGTACGTACATTACTTTTCTTTTAGCATGTTGTGTTGTCAAAGCACTGTTAGTCATGAGTTATTCGTTTTAGTTTTAGTATGTTTTGTGACAACACCGTTAAAATTGTTTACCTTTTCTGACTCGTACAAAATTTGTTATTGATGGTGTGTGTCATATCATTTCCCTGGGATCTGTTAGACTTGAAAAATTGGTATTTGGGGAAGCCAATTAAATATAACTTTGAAAACAATTTGATTTTGGAGTCGCCACAAACCTTTAAGTTAGGTAGGTTGGAAACCTTAAATGACAAAAATGGTATGTGTTTTACCAAAGATTCATTTTTAAGAGTTCCAAAGTCGATTACGTGTGGGGAAGGGTGAACGCCCTCGCAACGCCTAAATTTTGGTACCTAAATGATTATATGTTGTTTAAATATTGGGAATTACAAACTTTGAAAATATATTTGAGTTATGATCCTTCTATTTATTCAAATTTATTTAAATAAGTGTCAATTTAAAAAACCACTTAAAATAAGAAATGCAATGGATCAAAAAAGATTAAATATCCCCAAAATATTCTTATAGAATAAAGAATATTATAATTATTTTATAAGACAAAATATGTCATTGTGTACGAACAATCCTTGAAAATGCATTTCTTTTATAGTTAGGAGATTTTTTCATAGATTCCCCTCACAAAAGACGTTATTTCGCAATTTTTCACAAAGATAAAATAAAATAAAAAAATAAAAGTGAAAAGAGGTGAAAAATAATCAAAATAAATAAACATGGAACAAAGAAAATTATATTATACAAAACAAACATTTATGCGAAAAATCCTCGAAAATATACTTTCCCTTGTAGTTGGGAGATGTCTTCGTAGGTTTCTCTCACAATGAAATTTTCTCATTTCCATATATTAGAAAACAATGATGATTTATAAAAAAGGTGTTAATAATTATCTAAATATGAACATAATAAAACAAAAAGAAATAAAAAATTTCATACAAAGAATGCTTATAACAATTACATAATGTATATACATATATATACATACATACATACATTAAATTATAATGATCGATAAAACAAAGTTACAAATTTGGACTAAAATGCACATTTACAAACATGATAAATTAAAATACTAATAAGAATCTAATCATACCTAGTAAATAAGGATTAAATAGCAAGAACAACAACTTTAGAGTTAAAACAATAATAATATAACCAATCAGAACTAATATACAAATTTTACATAATATGAGTACTAAACAAAAAAAAATCCCAAAACAACATATAGTACCAAATGAAACAATCTAGAAATTCGTAAGGTAAATAAAAATTATACTAAAGCCACAATATACAAAGCAAGGTCTGAAATGAAAGATTTACAAATACTATAACCAGAGTCCAATACCAACGCAAATAGCATACAATATAGGATAATGGAATAAATGGAAACATTGAAAGATAACTGCTCAAAGTAGAATATCACAAAAGTTTCATTAAAGGCTAAAACAAATTGATATAAACGACCAGGGGCCTAAAGTGCTATTATCCCTAGAAGATCAGAACACGCATGTTGAGTTACAAAGCAACATGGCTAAGATTACTATTATCCCCTAACGAAACGCTCGATCTCCCCTCTATGCAACGTCGTTTCACTCAAATTATAAACAGCCCAAATCCAAGGCCAAACACCGGTTCCTCTCCCATTTGCTTTCATTTCCCTTTAACCCCAGAGAAAGAGAGAGGAAAAGCACTAAAAAAACTCTCTCACTTCTTACCTTGCTACCCCTCATCGAAGATAAAACCAACACCCCAAGCACCGTAGATCAGTGCCCACGGGGATTCAAACACAATAACCCTCTCCTTTCTATCTTCCCCCTCTGCCTTTCTATAACGACTCGAACATAAC